GGGGAATTCTGGGAGTTGAAGTCCACCCATCTTAAAGTCACCAAGGTTGAGAAACACTGATGTAGAACATTTGTATTTAAAGCATTCTCCCACCAATTAAGGGAAAAAAGGATTTAAAAATCCACAGTGCTCAGTCCCTGCTCTCCTTCTGACCCCACTTTGCACACACCCACAGCTGTGACAGCTGGAGCTTCGCCCCCTGGTCACAGCTGTAACCTCCCTTCCAAGCACCCTCGTCTGCATTTAGATGACACCAGACTTTCAGGCAGGCAAAGGTGAACCAGCAGCTAAACCTGGAGATGAAACGAGAGCAGGAGGCTGTTCTTTTTTTCTAGGATCCCTTGCAACATCTGAGCCAGGGCTAAAAGGAAAAAAGAAAGGAAACCGAATAGTAAATTATGGAATTCCAGCTATTTAGCAGAGCTATCCTGTGCTGTCACCGCCACCCGGAATCATTTTGTTTCCCTTGCTTAATTAAACAATTGTTGGGTTTATTGGAAAACCCTCCTTGTGCATTTTAAAGACCTTTTTTTTTTTAATGGAGAAGAGGGGGAGCCTCAAGTTGCTAGTCCTCATGGGTGCCGCTGCATTCTCTCTCTTCCCTTTGCCAGAACGTGGCCGACAGAGTAGCCAGCCTGCCGCTGGTCAGCTCTGCCTACGACATGGTCACGGCTGCGTACAGCTCCACGAAAGAAAGCCACCCGTACATGAAATCGGTCTGCGACATGGCGGAAAAGGGAGTCAAGACGATTGCTTCAGTGGCGGCCAGCGGGGCGCAGCCCATCCTGAGCAAACTGGAGCCCCAGAGTGAGTAACCCAAAGGTTGGGCATGGAAGGGAGAAACCAATTAAAAGAGGTGAAATGATGCTGATCTATCCGGAGGTCGTTTTCTGCTTTCCCACATAGGGGCTGGTCCTGAGTTTCTTTGCAAAATGTAGGACGCCCCCTGCTCACTGCTCTGGGTAGATGGAGGGGAGAGAAGCAGGGGGAAAGAAATGTACAATTCATTTTTTTTTTCCTTCACTTTCTTTGAATTACCGCCGGGTTCTGGGTTGGCCCTTCTTCTGGCATATTGCCACCAAGAAAAAGCTGTGACCGACCCAGGAGCGATAAATAGTGTCTCCATGCCATGCTAATCTTGGTTAGTTGTAATAGTTGGGGGGGCACTGAGGGTGTCATGCAAACCCACTATTTGCCTGGTTTATTCGTTGCATGATGCAAATCCAGAACACAGATCCCTGTGATAAATAGAGGCAAGAGGTTGTGAGAACGTAGCGGGGTAATTTAGCAAGAACATCACGGGGTTGTTGGTTAACCATTTCAGGAGAGTAAGTGGAGCAGAGAAAAAAAACAATGGAACAGTTGCAGAGGTTCTGCAGCCCCTGATTTTATATTACCTGATATTAATAGCTGATAATTACCATTCCCTCTGACCTTTTGGTATAGCCGACCCCCTCTACGTTGTCCCATCAAATCCGAAAAAGCTACAGAGCAAGGCTAATAAAACCTTTGAAAGCAAAGCTGCAAATCCCGTCTCTGGTATTAATTCCACCTGGGGCCATGCTCCTCCATCCCATAATAGCCACAGCCTATGAAGTCTGCCTACACCAAGGTGGCTAGGTTTGCATAACCTGCTGAATCGTCGTGATTTGTTGGAGCTTAATATCTTAACGTGCATTGCACCATTGTGGTTTATTGCATAAACCTTAGTTAATGGCTTAGCACATTTAATGTCGACTAAAATGCAGATGTTCTCTAGCTTCTGGGGAGGGCGGAAAAGTTCTGCTCTTCCCCTTCTGCTGGAGGGGGATAGTGGGAAAAAAGTCTACAGGGGTGTGTAGAGGAGTTTGTGGGTATGGAATTATCCACGACACGGAGAAATCTCCCCCTCTCTCAAAAAATTTGGTTTAGAATAAATGAAACTGTTTTAAAACAGGTAAAAGGAAGCAGAGTGTATCATTAACCTGTGAAATTCATTGCCACGAATTGTGGCCACGAAAGTGGATGGAGGTTCTGCTGAAGTTCTCCTTCACCCACCCCATCGTGAACCTGTGGAATTCTTTGCCAAACATGGATGGCTTTAAAATGGGGTGGATAAATTCATGGAGGCCACGTTTGATTGGGCCTTCCATTTTCTCCCCATGCTGGGGGGCAGCGTGCCTCCAACAAGGTCGGGCTGCCCACCAGGAGATCAAAAAAGTCAAGATGGCCGCAGCGGTGTGATCAAACCCTCTTATGCACATCATGACACATGTAAAAAGGGGAGGGCTTTGAGCGCATAGTTGCTGGCCACCATCTTGATTTTTTTGACCCCTGAAGACAGAGTAATCTTTTCTTCTTGTTCAGTTTCCACAGCGAACGAATATGCCTGCAAAGGTTTGGACAAACTGGAAGAGAAATTGCCAATTCTTCAACAGCCAACTGATAAGGTAATCAACATCTTCCTTCTTCCGGGCCACGAAAGTAGGTCTGTAGATTTGGGTATCAAAAATGGATATAGCCAAGGAGACTTATCCATGCTAAGATACATCTGCAGGTAATGATTTCTGCCTGCTGCATTACTACAGTAGCTGAATTTGGGGGAAGCACCATGCCTTACAGAGAAGTTGTGGGCTTAGATTTACAGGAGAATCCTTATGAAGCTCCATCTGTTGAACGCCTGCCTAGATGCAGCTCCTCCCAGCCCAGTTCTGAGCTGAAAGAGAAAGGCAAGCTGTGGCCAAGGTTTTACAGCTGTAGATGATGTGCATTGTAAATTCTTGGTCAAAAAGTGCCATATAAATCATCTAAGTTGAAGTCTTAAAGTTGCCAAGACTGAAAAACGCTGATCTAAATAAATGCACATTCTAGTTTCTTGGGAGTTTGAAATACACGTGAAAATGGGTTTGCAGGGACTTTCAGGCATTTTCCGAGATTGCTTGATTACCGAATAAATGCTCAGGTGGATGTACCATGTTAGCCTGATACAATCCTTCGGAAACAGATTACGGATTGAACGAAGATCTCTGATTGGGTTGGGTCCTGGCTGGTGTGTCCGGTGACTGAGATTCCTTGAGGGAGACGGTGAGATCAAGTGATGCTCCAGATCTTTCCTTCATCCCAAAGGACACCCCCTCTTCCCAATTTTATACTTCACGGATCTTTACAATTAGTTCAGCCAGCTTAGTGCAGTTGACATCAGTGGGTCCTGATCTTCCAGGTTTTCAGCCAAGTTCACTTGGGTTGGAGAAACTGGCATCTTGGCATCTTCCTGCTGGAAAATGGCTGCCTCACTTTTCTCCTGCGTCCATCCCCAGGAAGTCGCTGCTTCCACAGAAGCTCCTATATCTGCCCTGGACTTCATCTGCCCTCACCCAAAAGCTCTTAAACCAGCATCCAAACTCTCTTTTAGATCATTTCGGACACGAAAGATCTGATGACAGGAGCTAAGGAGGCAGTGACCTCCACCGTCAGTGGCATGGTTGACAAAACCAAGGAAGTGGTCCAGGGCGGTGTGGAGATGACCCGGTCGGCTGTCCAGGGCGGTGTGGACATGACCCGGTCAGCTGTCCAGGGCGGTGTGGACATGACACGGTCGGCGGTCCAAAGTGGTGTGGACATGACGCGGTCAGCGGTTTCCAGCGGCGTCAGCACTGTGATGGAGTCCTCAGTGGCACAGATGGTGTCCAGCAATCTGGACACTGTCATTGGAAAATCTGAGGAGTTGGTGGACCATTATCTTCCAATGACAGATGAAGAACTGGGTGAGTTGGTGTCTTTTTGGTTATCCAAGAGAAGCTGAATGTTTTAAGTGGCCACGGCTTTTAACCAGGAACTTGGGTTGCTCTGTACCTTGGTACCATCTTCTGAGTAGACCTTCTCGTAGCCCTGCAGATGGTCCCCATATTGGGGAACCATGGATGGCTCACAGGTGACCTGTAACTGGATCCAGGTGCTTGTTTTCTTGTTTAAAATATTTCTATCCCGTTCTGTATCAGGGAAGGCTCTTCAATCAGCTCGAAAATGAGATCTTCCCTGTTTCTCAAGTATACAGCCCGAAAAATACTGCAGGAGGGAAAGAAAAGCAAGGAGTCTCCATAGCAATTTTTAACGTTCCGTCTCCTGAACTTCAATCGCTAACTCCTTCCTCCTGTATTTGCGCTTTTAAAAAGCAAAATTGCAGCGCTGCTGTTTTATGATTCGCCGCCCGGAGTTTGTTGGAAGTGAGGTGGCTTAGAAAGGCTGTAAAATGGAATAAATAAAATTTAGAAGCTCTTTGGCTCCCTAGAGCAAGTTATGGTGTACAGATATTTTGAATAAATAAGTAACAGAGGCCTGTGCGAAGCGTTCCTTTGCAAAGGGCTTCTGAAGTTTGAGCAACGAGATCTTTCTGTTAAAAAGTGCTCTCGTTTCTGTGGAAGTTTGAGCAGTCGCACTGTTTGCCTCTCGAGGAAGATGTTGAGTAGGGTCCTTGCTCATGTCTGCATATATAAAGTTCTGGGTAGAGGGCACGGGATGAGTAAACTAAACCCGGTTGATTTTGCTTCGTCTGGTTCTGTTTTCTGATTCTCTTCTTCCTGCTTGACAGAGACATACAGGCTACGTTAAGGGATATTTTGGGGGTTGGCTGAGTGCGTCGGGTGACCCCAGTTTTTATCACTCCTCCTCCTAGCCAAGCTGGCCACCTCGGTGGAGGGCTTCGAAATAGCCACGGTGGAGCAGCAGAAGGAGCAGAAGAGCTACTTCGTGCGCCTGGGATCCTTGTCGAGTAAGGTTCGCCACCGGGCCTTCCAGCACTCCCTGGCCAAGTTGAAAAGCGCCAAGCAGGGCACCCACGACGCCCTCTCCCAGCTCCACCAGACCATTGAACTGGTAAGGAGACATTGCTGGGGAACGGGCGTCCGGTTTGCTGCAGCAGAAATGCGCAGCCTGTGGCTTCGGGATGTTGCTCCGTGAATCCCATTCTGGGCAGCTGCGCCTCTCCAGTGCTTCGCTCTCCCTTTTCTTCCACAGCACATGCACAGGTGCGCAGAGTACTAACTGGACAGGCTTCCTCCCCTGCCGTTCCCTTTCTCGGCATGTCCCCCTCTGTGTCATGGCGCCTTTGTGCAGTGCGCAACATGTACCCCTGTTTGTGGCACCCTGCCCAGAACCCAGTTCTTTTCTCCCAAGGGAGGTCTGGCTATGATGCCCGGCCCAAATGCCTGCTTGGTTTTGGGTTGGCAGACCCTGACCCTTGTGGTGTGTAAACAGCGGGTTTTGGCTGGGGCTGCAGCTGGCAAATGGTGGTATAGGCAGCAAAGCATGAGGAAACCATGGTTTTGGGTGCAGTGTGAACTTTGGTAACTAGCTGAGGCTCCCGTTTCAAGAGCAAAAACCTGCCAGCCTTTTATCTAACCATTTTGCTTGAAGACGTTAGCTTTTTATTCATAATCTGGTGTACCGGTTTCCCACCTTGGTAGAAGGTCTTTTCCTAACTAGCTTCACTTGGGTAGCTTGGATTACAACGCCCATCACACCTGAGTCACCTGGGACAAAGGGTGTCCTAGCTGATTACTTGCCAAACCCCATGCTGGAAATCTCTGAACTTCTGTGAACTGTGCACAGAGCCGCTCAAGATGACATCCGGTTGTCATCCTGTGAGAGGAGCGTGGAGAAATCCAGCTTCTGTTGGTTCACGTGTGCATCGTTGCAGCCGAGTTGACCTTTCCCCCCCCAAAACCTAGACCCCATGAACGTACAAACTAAAGCTAGGGTAGCAACAGAAAGTCTTGCCAAGCCCCCATCTCATAGCACTATATAAACCAAGATTGGAAGAGGGGAGCAATTGTAAGAATCCGTAGAGTAGAATCATCTTCCCAGGAAGTGAATTACTTATTTATCTGTTCCTCAACTGCCCCAATTGTACGAGGCTGGGCAGCGCACAATGAAGTTTTTTTTTGAAAAAAAGGAATTAAATTCAGCAAAGGAATGCAATGCAAAAGATCTCCCCCACCAGATGGGTGGTCAGAGGACCAGCCACAACGAGCGAGTGGAGTTAAAAGCTTGATGGTATAGCTGTGAGTTTAGAGGAGGGCTACCAAGATGGTGAGGAATGGTTAAAGGGTTGGGGTACGTTTAGGTTGCAGGAGAGAAGCCTTGGGAAAGAGATGAGAGTTGGTCTTCAGACATCTGGAGGCTGAGCCATAGAAGAAGAGATTTATTTTCTGTTGCCCTAGAAGGCAGGACCAGAACCAGGGGATTAAAACTAGAAGGAGTTCAAGCTAAACATCAGGAGGAATGTGGCCACAGGTGGCCACATAAGTACTGATATCTCCTTTGTTGGAGGTCTTTAAATGGACACAGATGGTCATCTGTCCAAGATGCTCTAGTCTAGTGTTTCTCAACCTCAGCAACTTTAAGATGTATGGACTTCAACTTCCAGAATTCCCCAGCCAGCATTTGTGGACTTCCAAGTCCCGGAATTCCCCAGCCAGCTGGGAGTTGAAGTCCACACATCTTAAAGTTGCTGTGGTTGAGAAACACTGCTCTAGGAGATCCTGCCTTGAGAAGAGGGTTGAGCTAGATTTCTACAGGTCCTTCCAACTCTTTAATTCTATGATTCTAGTAATCTTTATCATGATAAGGAGGAGGGACCCGTGTTCTTCAAGAATTTTAGTTAGGTTCTCTGCTTAAGAGTAGAGTTTCTGGGGCTCCTGATTTTCTTCCCCCCATGAAAGAGTTGCTTACTCAACATTCTCATTGGCATCTTCTCAGATTGAACACGTCAAACAAGGGGTTGATCAGAAGATTCAAAGTGGCCAGGAGAAGCTCCATCACATGTGGTTGCAGTGGCATCAGAAACAGGCTCCTGAGATGAAACCGAAGGACGTGCCTGAGCCACAGGTAGCACGTTTTCCATGGGAATTGTTGTGTTTTGGGTTTTTTGTTTTTTGTTTTGATAACAACCACCTTAAGAACTAGCTAACTTGAACCTTGCTTGGATGCCTTTGCAGGAGATAGAGTCCCAAGCTCTGGAGGTATCTCGTGGCCTGACCCAACAGTTGCAGTTGGCTACGGCAGCTTTGGTGTCCAATCTCCAAGGACTTCCTGCAGGGCTTCAAGAGAAAGTGGGCCTCGTCCGCCAGAACGCCGAGGAGCTCCGGACGGCCTTCATGTCTGCTGGGTCCTTCCAGGACTTGCCAGGCTCCATCCTGGCTCAGAGTCGGGAAAAAGTCGCCAAGGCCCGTCAGTTGACGGACGAGCTGATGGACCACGTGGTCCAGAACGTCCCTCTGACTTGGCTCGTAGGCCCCTTCTCTGCCTCAGAAAAACGAAATGTAGAAGAAATAGAAATGAAATAGGATGTCAAGGTGGGGCGGGAACGTGAGCGATTCAGAATATGATCCGAAGCGTAGGTTTTTGGGAGCAAAGAGAAGAGCTAGGCTTGGCTGCAAATAGTTTAAATATCTATGTAGAAGTCTTGATGCAAAAGATTTCTGAACAAAACAAAGGAAAAGGTTTTGATGGTTCAGTTGCTTTTTTTCTAACATGAGCCAGGCAAATTTTGGCTGATAGAATTTATTTAATCCAATTTAACATGCCTGATGGTACTAAATTGGCAATTTGGGAGGCGTTTTTCTCACCAGGGATTGTACAGCCCAACTGAAAGCAAGTTTTTTCTTTTTTCTTCAAGGGTGGGAGGCTAGAGTTCATCTTAAATGCAGACAGCCAAAATTTAGGAATGGTTATCAGTGGGTTTTTTTTCCTTCTGCATCCCAACCTCTTTTAAACCCCATGGAGATCATTCTTGCAAGGGGAGGACACAAAGAATTTTCCAGTTTGATGCAAACAGCAGGGAAACACTGAAGAGGTTAACCAATTACACCCAAATATTACCTCTTTCTTGTTTTTTCCTTCCCAGTGACAATTGTCTTGCATAATTGGCCTTTTTCCCTTTTTCTTCTCAGTGCACGTAGCCTGCCAGGTTCTCACAAATCGTGATAGAACTGAGAAAGCTTAAATTGCCAGAAATTTAGGTGGGGTGGAGGGGTGGAGGCGAAAGTTAAGAAATTATCTGTTTTTTATTCTTGCTTTCTGGTCGTCGTCGTTCCAGCTGTTCTCCATGCGTGTAGTCTTTAGGTGGGAGGAGTGAAAACGGAGCTAAACATCTCTGCTCAGTTTCTCCTGCATTTAAAGGGAAATTATGTAGGGTGGTGGTACAGCTTGTGCTTGAGACCCTTCCCATCATTTAGGGGGTGGAATCAAGTCTTGTCTTTGAAGAAGGGCACTAGTAAAGTTGATCAGACTTGCTTAATTTTCAGCTCCTCGTGTGTAATGCTTTCAGAGTTTTCTAAGGCCTGCAGAAGGCTTCTGTATGTCACGTGAAACTGATTTCCTCTCCATGCTTCCCGTTGTCAATTGATATCCGGTGCCTTAACTCATAAAATAAAACTAATACCATATTGCATTAAAAAGCTAAAGACTTTCCATGTTTTCCAGGTGGGGTGGGGGCAGGGGGAGATAATCAAACTGTCCAAATTGGTTTGTTCCAGTTGATAGGATTAGGTGGCATTTGCTAATTTGTAATGAGAAACAGGAACATGAGGATTAGAAGCTTTAAGAGGCCACTGTAGGCTATGCACCCAGCAGTAAAGCAGGAAATCAAGGGGGATCATGCATTGGGAAAAGACAATAGCCAAGTGGAAAATCATATTCCATGGGAGGTGGGGACACAAGGGAATAACATTAAAAATTAAGTAGAAAAGGGAAGAATGGGGAAGATCTTTGATTGATGTAGGTCAGCATTTTCTTGGGAGTAGAACAATGACACGGGAACACTCCATTTCCAATCATAAGAATATAGATTGTGCTGGACCACACCAAAGTCTTGTTACTGTTAATGGGGATTGAATTAAGGCTTCATATGAAGCTTGCAAGTTTCTTGAGCTGCAGCAACTAAGAGGGCAAAGCCAAACTGGTGCGATGCAAAGAACAGCAAAGCGCCATCAACACAAAGCGAAGCTCTGGGCCAAAAAGTAGCATGGGGGGGGGGCGGCATAGAGAGAAGAAGCCCACTGCAAAGTGGGGGAGGTGCCGCAGAGGTACTCTGGCATTGTTGGCAGCACTAAAATGAGCCCTCTGCCCAAGAATCATGAGGATGAAGATCCAGTGGGAACATACGAGCATTTAGCCCAATCTTGACTTCCCACAGCTTATCGACCAGCAGAAATGTTTGCATTCCCCAGCTGGTTGGTTGTGAGTTCATGTTTCAGTGATGGAAGTGGAATGATTTTTATTTTCCAACCCCAGGCATATGGTATATAGCAGGGGTTTTGTCTATAGCAGTGTTTCTCAAACTTGGCAACTTTTAAGATATGTTATCAATTCCCAGGAAAAAAAAACAGCAGAGGGGGGGAATAAGGGCTTCACATGTCTTCCAATGCAGCCCAGAACTTCATTCACCTTTCTACCAGCCATTGTAGCTGGAAGCCGCCGCCTCAAATCTTGCCTTTAAAAGCCTTCCAGGTTACCATCACTATCCCGTGGCAGTGAGTTCCACCGTTAAAGGTGGCCACCAGGTTTCCTAAAACTTTCCTTTTTAGCAAGCTTTTTTATTTTTTTTCTAAATCCATTTACAAATAATACATTGCCACCCCGGTGAAGGCTTTCTCATTTGGCTCTTTTCTCTAGTTCCAGCGACGTGTTCATGGCAGCAGAAAGCAATCGGTCATCCGGATGTAAAGGATGGATAGATTTTAAATTTGCCGTACAAGTGGAAGTCACGTTAAATGTAGCAGAAAGTTTCACCTGGTTGCTCCTGATGGAGTGGCTTAGCAATGCAGTCAAAAAGCACCGTGACCCTTTCTTCCCTCCCTCCTTCAAGAATTATTTTCTCCAGGAAGAGGAACGATAAAAGGTTAGAAATGGAGGCTGTAGGTGTTTGGATCTCCTAAGCATCAACTAAACAGGATAGTTGTGGCATTTTGAAGGCCTTGTTTAGAGGCACTGGAAAGTCCTTCAAAAATGTATTTGAGTCATCTACAACATACAGTTGTAGGACTGTAACAGCCACTGTAGGACAGACGGGCAGAAGGCTAGCAGAGCGCATCCATGAATGCCAACCAGCAGTCAGAAGACACGATGAAAACTCCTTAATCTCACAACACATGGACAGACTCAACCACAGTTTCAGCTGGGAAACTGTCAGCTGCTTAGACCAAGCTAAATCCCAAAACACGAGGGAATTCCTGGAAGCTTGGCA